ATTAATAATGCAAATTTGCATAAAATACATTGTTGACCTAGCAGTGAAACTCAGTTTCTATGATTATGAAACTGTCATGTCTTTATTGTGCAAATGTGGTTAAGTCATGCATTTATATGTCAACAGTTTGTGTTAAGGAACATATTACACAAATAAGCTCATCGGTATGTACTATTGTACTACTATCAGTAAAAATAATAATTTTACATTGAAGGAAATTGAACATTTTTGACAAACTAACTTGTGGAGGAATAATAAAAAAATAAGAAATAAATCACACAGTTCTAACAGTCATCAGACTATCGATCTTCAAATAGATTATCAGTTGTTGACTGTTATCATTAACCTTATTATCATAAACTGTCTTTTAGATAGGACTAGGAAGCAGATAGTTAAATTGAATTTTTCCAACAGCCATACTGTCATTATTCCAATAATAAGTTAATTATAAAGTGATCTTTTAAAAAATTGAGAAAAGTTAAATATTTTTTCTATATTCTCAGTTAGAGGATGTCTTCAAGTCCCTGCATTTGTTGTCAGATGAAGAGAAGCTGAATCAACTGTTGAAGTTAAAACTGCGTTACTTCACTCCTCGGGAAATTGCCAACCTTTTGGGCTTTCCTGCAGAGTTTGGTATGTTTTCAGTCAAATTAAATATTGATAATTTTATTGAAGGGCTTTACATGTTTTCCAGTCTGTACTTGAATTTTAACTGTTCTCTTTTTGTTTTTATTCTTAACATATTTTAAAATATTAAAATATTTCAGTTCAAATAATATTAAATCTGCTTTTAATTCCTATTGGTAACTGATTTTTTTTATCTGTTAAGAATTTAACAGTGCTTATCATGGCATTGAAAGTACAGATTGAAGGCCAGGGGTAAAAGAGTGTCCTGTCTGCTCAATAGGATTTTACAGTGTCTTCCTATCACAGACCCTAGTCCCACCTCACTGGGTGAGGTTGTTGCGGGGCTGCACAGTACATTAATTTTGCTCTTGCACCATCTCTGCTCACTTGTTTTAAGTCTTCCATCATGTCCTTCTGTGTGCCAGTACTCCATGCAAATCCTCCTAAATGATAGCTGTATTAGCGATGTCCCTCTTGGATCCATGGCAGTGATGCAGCATCCAACTCAGATGGTGCCCAGCTCAGGCACCATCCAGACATGTGGGGGGGAGAACAGGATAGTTTGGTTGGAACACGTGTATCTACCTGGAAGGCCAACACTGAGACACACAATGTCATGTACAGCAGTACCAGAAGCCATAGTTACAGTGAGCTACTGTATGATGTAAGGTCTGAGTAGACTAGGCTAAAGTTATAGAGTTTCAGTCTGGATTTAAATCCT